GTCAGTCGTTGTCAGTCGTTGTAGCCCGACGCGGAGGCTGGCGCGGCGGGTCAGCCCGCCATGCGGCGGCGCTTTCTGGGACCGGCCTTGGTCGTCGTCGTTGTCGGTCGTCCGTCGTCGTCGTCGTCGTCGTTTTCGGTTGTGGTCATCATCGTCGTATTCGTCGTCGGAGGTCGTGTCGTTGGTCGGTCGTCATCGTTGTCGTCGTTGCTGTCGTCGTTCGTCGTGTTCGGTCGTCGGCGTCAGTCGTCGTCGTCGTTGTCGTCGTGCGAGCCCCTTGGTCATCAGTCGTCATCAGTCGTCGTCGTTTTCGTCGTCCATCGTCGTGGTCGTCGTGAGAGCCCTTTTGTCAGTGGGCGATTATTGGAACCGTCTTGGACTAATCTTGGGCCACCCCTGGAGTTTTTTATTTGGTGTGGTCGGTGTCATCTTTGGATTTTTTTGGGGGGTCGTTGGGCATTATTGACGCCCTCTTCGGTTGTTATTCTTAGTGCCCTATTCGGGGCCGTGGAGCTTCTTGGGGCGCCCTTGAAGCGATCCTGGACGCTTTGGGGGCCCTCGAGGGGGCCTTTAAGGGGCTTCAGAGTTCCAATGAACTCGTTGGGGCGTCCGTGGCGGCTTTGGTGGCCGTCGTGGCCGTCATGGCCGTCCTGGCCGTCGTGGTGGCCGTGGCGGCCGTGGTGCCGCGGTGCCTTCTCTGGTGCCGTCCGAAACCTTGGGGGGCTTTGATCACGCTGATCTGTCCCGAGAGGGCCGCTGGTTGCCGCACTTCTGGCAGGTCCACCGCAGGCTGGGTCCATCTGTCAGGCCAACCTCCGTCGCCGTCGCGCCGCGCGGGGTGTGTCAAGAAACAAGTTGTGTATCTGTCGCGGCCCCGCTGGTCGCTGTCGCACCGTTGGCTTAGCCGTCATGTGCAGTTTTGGGCCTGCCATCTGTATGCACTCTGGGGACGAAAGGCTCACCAACCCAACGTTTTGCCGAGGATCTCATGCTGGTGGCAGGCTCGCTGGAACACATCACGAGCATGATTTCTGACCCCAGGCGTCGAAGCTGAGACATCAGGTCCTCTCCAGCACCCGGATAAAGCAACCACTCTGCATATTGGGTACTGGAGCTCACGCCGGCGCAGCGTGCCGAGCCATGCGTTTGCAAATGAAATGACGATCGAGATCTTGCCCGCCTACAGACCAACGAGAGATGTGGGACGGAAGTTTCAATTCAGCGATTCCCACGCAGCGGAGCTAGAGAACCGAATCTCTGCAGGGTGGCGAACATTCTGTGCGCAACGACAGACTTGATGGAGAAGCACTACTCGCTCAACAGCAACATGCTGTTATTTTACGGAACGGTTACACCCGCGGTGCTCTATGGGTGTGAAGTGACCATGGAGAACCGATTGCGCAGGGTACAGAGACAACTGTTGCGCATAATCTTGCAGACGCCGAGAGGGTGCACCGCAGCAGGCGCCCATCGCGACGGGCGGCTGGAAAACATAAGAGCTTCAGCAGTTTGGACCGACGACGATGAGATCCCAGACCACCTGGTACAAGAGTGCGACGGCGACGGAATGGAGCCTCGGGCGGAGTGGATCCTCAGAGCAACACAGACAGCAGAAGACACCTTCACACGATGAAACCTTGCTGAATCGGTATTGATTCGACGACGAAAATGAGCATGGGCTCGCCAGGTGTTTTGGTTAACACCAACTGGACGGCACGGGCGTCGTTGTGGAATCCGGAGGCAGACGTCGATTAGGATATTCGCCGACGCCCAGGCCACCCGAAGAAACGATGGTTCGATGACTTGCGACATGTGATGATATCTGAACCGAGTTGTGCTGGACACGATTGGTATGATGCTGCCAAAGCTGACGTTTGGGTAGCGATGGAGGGCAGACTTGTCAGTAGATTATGTGATGCCCATTTTCATTGCACCGTTCGGGTCCCTTCGCTCGCGTTTCCTTCGTTGTCCCCCTCGTCGCTTTTCCCCCCCCCCCTCTCCCTCCCTCGGCATCGCCTCTCGCCCTCGCTTGTCGCGCGTCCCTCTTTCCTTTCGTGCGCCCTTTCCCCCCCCCTACAACACCTCACGTGCATGCCACCACCACCTGGCGCAGAGACCGCCGCTGCTCTCGTTGCACACCATGGCGCCGCGGCGCCCGCCTGCAGCGCCCCTTGCTGGCGTGCACTTTGCAGGTCCGACTTCCGAGTTCCGAGAATCTGCTTGGCCCGCCCGTCGCCGTCGCACCGCGCAGGGAGTTTCGGAAACAGGTGACTGGTTCGCGGCGCCGCCGGTCGCTCTCGCACCGTTCGCCCACCTGTGTGGCTTGCGTTGCCCATCGTCCGAGCGGCCAGGGGAGCCCAGGAGCACCCTTCGGGCAGGCGGGGGAGGAATGGATCTGCTGATGGCGCGTGTGCCACCTGCGAATGTTGATTATTTCTTTGGTTGTTAGGAAGCCAGGCAGGCGCGCTCAAGGAACGATACTAATCGAAAGCGATCCTGGCCCCCCCGTCGCCGTCGCACCGAAAATATAGAGGGTCACGCATGCGCGAGGTGAGGTGTCCACGGCGCGCCCATCGCACGTCGCACAGCTCGTTGGATTCATTTCTGAAGTGGTCCGTGCGACGACGCATCGTGTTTGCGCACCGCTGCGGCGGCCCGTACTGGGGAGATCTGGTCGGGGCGAATCCCCTCGGGACTTGGTCAACGGCCGCCTGCCGCCTGCCTGAACGGCTGCCCGTGGCCAGGCTTGGCCGCGGCGGCCTCTCTCGGCTTAATTCTTCAATTAATTTAGGGCTACGCGCCAGTGGCGCGCCGGCAGAGGCAAGGCCACCAGCACGCCTACCTCTTCGCAGGCAGTACCCGCGGACACTCCAATGCGTACCTCAGGACACGGTGGCGGATACTGCTTCTCACAGATGCTCAGCGTACTGATTATGAGCTGTGGGTTCCGTCGGCAGTCTGCCGTACTCCTCGTGGGGTCTGTAGTTCTTTGCAGATCAGTCGCTCAACCTCTTTGTCTGGCTGAGTCACGCGCCTTGGCTGGGTTGGCGCTCGGATCTGAGCCCTTGTGCTGGGCTGTCTCGACCTCGAATGTGGCCTGGCCTTCGGAGCCGAACGCCTCATGTCGCAAGGAGGCTGGCAGTCTCTGCCGTGCGAATGACTCATGGGCGCATGCCCACCACGCTGACAGGGCCAAGAGGGAATTTCCTCTGTGGCCTGCAGTTGAGAACTGTGATGGCCGCGGGGCAACCGACGCGCAACGGGTACACTCATTCGGAGGCGCGACGAAAACGGGGAAGTGAGTTGGGGTACGTTTTCTCAGAAGCTGGCGGGGCTTCGAAGAAGGCTTCGACAGCTTCTCAGAAGGCCGGAGGCCTTCTGAGTCTTCCGAGACAGCCCACCCCTTTATGCCTTCCCTTTGGGCGCGGCATTTGGATGCACCCCACCAGCGCCGATCCCAGAAATCCGCGCGGAGCGCCTAAAGTTTATGAATCTGCCGTTCTTGTTGTCTCCTATTGTTGCTCATGGTTCCTCCCCCCATCCCCGTGTCGGGCCGGATGCTTTGGGCCTATCGAAAGGGTAGGATAGGGAAAGGGGGGGTACGAAATCTGCTGCGCTCGTATTGCGAAGGCCTTACGGCCAGCGCCGCCGACCCTGAATGGCGACGACGACGACGACAATGACGAGCGCTCTCGGGTGCCTCTTGGGGGTAGTTCGGGGGGCCTCTTGGGAGGCTCTTCGGGGCTTCTTGGGGGGCTTCTTAGGGGCCTCTGGGGGCCTCCTGGGAGTTTCTCAGGCCGAGGGCTCGAAATTACCGTTTGGGTCCCTTGTGTGGGCTCTCTCTTGGAGCCGTCGTGGGGGCCTCTTCGGCTGTCTTGGAGGCCTCTTGGGGGCCTCTTGGGCCATCTTGGGGCGGTTTTGGGCGCTTTTTGGCGTGCCTTGGAGCGCCGGGAAGCTTACAAGGCGAGAGCGCCGAAAAGTTTGAAAACCGGAGGAAACTCGATGATGTTTGCCGCTTGGGGCCCTTTTGGAAGTCCTCTTGGAGGCTTATTGGGGCGGCTGGGAAACCTCTTGAGCCGTCTGAAGGCGACTTTGGCGACTCGGACGGATACTTCGGCGATTCGGGGCCCTCGAGCACCGTCCTGGGGGCCTCTTGGGGCACTTTTGCCTTGGTGGGGCTTTTCTGGGCCCCCGAACCGCCCAGGGGGGAGTCGTATCTGGGTGGTGACCCCCGCGGGGGGGAGTCGTGTCTGGGTGGCGACCCCCCCAAGGGGGGGGTGCGAAATCTGCTGCGTTCGTATTTTGCTTTGTGCAGGCTCAGCTTGTTCGCCGGGGTGGTGCACCAGAACCGTGCCCCCCCGGGATGCCAACTCTGTACGCAGCCCCCTCTCCACGGTCCTGTGCCGGACCAGCTTGTTTGTAGGGGGTGGTGTAATGGAGGATGACGATTAATAAATGACCGGGGGTCGTGTTCACACTGCGGCGCCCGGGATGACGATTAGAAAAAACCGGCCGCGGGCTGGAAAACTATTCTTTTTTCATCGTTCTCCTCCAGTCAGAAAATTGTGCGGCAATAGCAGAAAGCCATTTGTTGAATCGTTCTCCCCCATGTTTTATGAATCGCCATCCCGCATTAGGGGGTGGTGTACAAATGAAAGTCGTGCTTTTGTCCCCGTTCTCTCCGCCCGCTGTCGGAGAGCACACCGCCCGCAGAGGGGGGGGAGGGCCAGAAACACACAGACACAATTAATCTTCGACTCCCCGGAAAATATGGACAAGCACGGGAAATGGGGGGGAGACAGAAACCCAGAAAATATGGGAACATATGGGGAATCTGTTTATTTGTGTGCATTTCTGTGTGTGTGCCAGGGCCCCTTCGCAAGCGAAAGTCGTGTTTTTTGCCCCCGTGCTCTCCGCCCGCTGCCGGAGAGCACGCCGCCCGCAGAGGGGGGGGGGAGGGCCGGCGCCCCGCGTCGGGGCCGCGCGCGCCGCCCTTTCAGGCTGCGCCTGGAGGGCACCAAGGCTCTGGGCGCCCGAAATGGGCACGGAAAGGATGGGTACTCCAGATTTCGTAATAAAGGGGAGGGGGAGGGGGAGGGGGAGAGGGAGGGGGAGGGTAGGGAGAGGGTGCGAGGCTCGCTCCCCCTCCCTCCTCCCCATCCCTCCTCCCCATCCCTCCTCCCCATCCGGGGGAGAAAAAGATACGGATACGTGTTGTCCCCCGCCGTTTTCGGCCTTTCCTGGTCCTCCTGGGGAATCCTCGTTGTCACCGCTGGATTCGCCTCGAAATTCTGGTCAGAACGCACCCCAAGAGAGGTCCGGGGACAACACGTATCCGTACCTTTCCGCCCCCCAACGGAATCGGCACGGAAAGAATGGGCACTCCAGATTTCGTAATAAAAGGGAGGGGGGTCTCATTTCGGGGGGGGGTCCCTTCCAGGCTATCTTGGAGGGCCTGGGGGGGTCTGGGGACGATGTCTTGGAGGGTTCTCCCACGGGGGAGGTCTTGAAATGGCTTAATAGCTTGTCTTGGAGGGTCCAGACCCCCTCCCTTTTACTACGAAATCTGGAGTACAATGCCCAGCAGCAGTGCTTGTTCGTTTTGAACAGGACTCGCGGTCCACGCCGCCGCGGCCTGCATCAGTTCGAGGCAGACGGCCGCCTGCCCAACGGCGGCCGCTGCTGGTTTGGGGCAGCATTTGTTGTTGGGCATGGTACCCATTTCTTCCGTACCCATTTCGGGCGTCCAAAAAGGCTCAGATCGCCGCCGCGAGGTCGATGGTCGAGCAGAAGGCCGGGGGGGGGGGGACCGGAGGAGGAAGAAGCACGGTCGGACCGAGCTATAAGATCGAGGTCGGTTCGGGGAGGGTGCCCTAAGTGTTCTTCGTGTTTATTGGATGCCCCTCTGCATCCTGGCCCTCGAGTGACCTGAACCGCATGCCCCGGATAATCGAGTATACACCCCCAAACGCCTCAAAATTGATCATCCAGGGCCAAGAGAGAGTTGGTCGGGGGAAAGGTGAGGCGAGGCCGAACTTCATTATCCCTAGGGAAAGTACGAACCGAAGTTGCTATCCTCTTTGTTGGCAGGGATGCGGGATTCTCACCATTTCAGCTTTCCTAGCTCACACCCTACCCCAGCACATGCGAGTTGCCAGGACGAGAACCCCGAATCTTATTTTCCCCCGTGATTCTCAGGGGCATTCGGTTATGGTTTGGTGTGTTTTAGCTGGCGGAGGCTTCGGAGGCCGTCGTCGCCACCGCTGGATTCGCCTCGATCTTCTGGTCAGAAGGCACCCCGGGAGAGGACCGGGGGGGGCAGCGGGATTTCGGTATTTTTGATTACCCCGGGGGAGGGCTGGAGCGGTCCAGGGGTCAGGGCTCGTTTCGATTCCTCGATTCGACTTCTCCCGACTCGGCTGCCGATTTGGACCAATCCGGTTCGATCGCCGATCCGACTTATCGATTCGATTCTTGGCCCACCTGAGGGTGAGCAGCGGGAGATGGTGGAAGAAGCACGCGCCGCCAGCAGGAACAGGAGGGGGGAGAGCGAGGAGGAGGGTGGAGATCTAAGCCTTCGAGGTGGGGTCGGAGTAAATGTGGTCGGAGGATAGCGCCGCATCGCAAGGGCCTCGACGTTGCGGCTTGATGTGGGGCCCGATTTTCTCCGCGGGTGCGTCGCCGACGTCGCCGATGCATCGCCAATGTATCGACGATGCAGCGCGATCCTCCGACCCTCCTACTCCGACCCGATTTGGGAGGCCTTTACTGGAGAGGGGAGAACGACGAGGGTCCTGTGGATCCGTTTGCTGTCGTCGAGTGTGTCCAGATGTTTTCGTTGGCGTTCGGAGGGCTCTCTCTCGAGGTTTTCGGGAGCTCCTGGGGGTGTCGGGAGCGAGGATGATGATGATGATGATGATGATGATGATGATGATGATGATGATGATGATGATGATGATGATGATGATGATGATGATGAGGAGGAGGAGGAGGAGGAGGAGGAGGAGGAGGAGGAGGAGGAGGAGGAGGAGAAGACGAGAGCAGAAGGTGGTGATGGCCCTCGGGGAGAAGAAGGCGGAGAGGATGCAGAAGCACGTCAACAGCGAGGTCCTGGAGCGGAAGCGGAACGAGACTGGCGCGGACGCCGCCAAGGCTGGCGTCAAGGGACTGAGCGATTTCGTCCAGAAGTGGGAGTTGAAGAACGTGATGGCGCGGAAGCTCTCCCGGCTCTTGTGGGACAATGACCGTTGGGCGTCGCGTATTGGGGGGGCGATGCATGAGGGCGGCAGCGAGGGCTGCAGAAAAGGGGCCCTTCTAGGGCCTTTAATGGGGCCCTGTGGGGCCCAAAAGGGTGCCCGCATGGTCCGAAAAGTGCCCCGTTCTTGCCCCTTCGCGAAGCGAAGCTCAACCGCCATGATGACGAAAAGGGTCCTGCGGGTAACGGGCCCTCAGGTTTTGTGCCGGCGGTCCACGGGCGCCCCGGGACTGTCGGGTCCTGTTTCCATGGGAAATCGTACATATACGCCGCCGAACGAGGCGGCACCTGCCGCATTTGGGGGAGGGCTCCTTCCCCGATCTATGGATTTGGTGACAGTGCGCCACATCCATGGATCGCTAATCCATGTTTGCGCGCCCGTGAGACTTGAGACGAAGAAGAACAAGACGCCATGAACATAAACTATTGGCGCTCCGTGCGGTTTTCTTGGATCCTCGCTGGCCCCTCTTGGCGGCGCCTTCAGCGCCGCCCCTGGCGCGCTCCGCGCGCCAGAGGAAGGGGTCCAGCGCCGGTCCGAGAAATCCGCGCGGACCTCTCAGTTTTTATATTTATGTCATGGTTCGTCCCCCTAGATCTGAGGAATCCGCGCGGGCCTCCGAAACTTGCTGTTTTTGTGCCATCCGTTGCTCTTCCAGGCTCGACGCGATGCTGCAGAGGTACCTCATCCGGCACTTCGAGCCCCAGAAGGCGGAGCCTGGGGCCCTCTCGGCGGGGACTTTGCCAAACCAGGGCGTCGGTGCTCCCGAGAACATTGCAGCCCTTTGTCGAAACATTCTTCGCTCGCTCCAGGCGGAAGCTTCAAAGTCTCGGCTTTAAGTCGGGCGTGCCCCTTTACAGGAGGAACGTTCAAGAAGAATCTAAAAAAGAGTCTTGGGGCGGGATTTCGTGCTCTTCGGACTTTTTTGTACATGTTTGGGTTAATTTATATTTTTCTTACGGAATCAGCCTGTAGGAGGAAATGCCCGACCTAATCTTGGCTGGCAATGCGCTGGTTTTTGGAGGCCCTCGAAGGCGAAGCCGGCCAACGCCCTGAGGGCGTACGTGGTGGCCCTTCTGAGGCTCGGAGAAGAAATAGCTGCATAAGCATCAAGCGTTTGTTTTCTTATTCACTGTTTTGCCGATCGGCGCGGGCCCTCGCATCCCCCCTCCCCCCCATGGAGTAGTTCTTGGCGGTTGTTGGCGCCTGTTTCAAGCAGGTGGAGTCTCCCCCGTAGGACGCACTGCTACAGACAGTCGCATTAAGCAGAGGTCCGGAGCCAGACCCCCCCCCCTCCCCCTCCCTTCCGCCCAGTGTCGAAACGCTGAACAAGAAAACGATCACCAACTGCATAAACATCAACTTCTGAAGCTCCTCGTGGATGTCTTGGATCAGCGCTGGGGCCCCGTTGCGGCGCCTCCGGCGCCGTCCTCGGCGCGCTCTGCGCGCCAGGGAGAGGGGGCCCAGCGCCGATCCGAGAAGTCCGCGGGGAGGTCCGAACGTCGGTTATGCGCATGCTGTTCCTCCTCTTCCTCCAGAGGCACCCGCAGCGCTGGCGGCTGGAGGCGCTCTACGAGGGATTGCAAACAAACGAAGGATTGCAAACAAAAACCTTTGCAATGAAGGGTTGCATTGAGGGTTTTTTGCAATCCTTTGCAATCCTTCGTTCAAGTGGAGGCGCTCTACGAGGACGGGGAGCTCGACGGCGAGGTCTGCGAGACCACGCCGGTCGGGCCCAGCGGCGCCGTGGTCGGGCGGCAGGCCCCCCATGGGGGGCGTGCAAGCGGCGCGGTGGCCACGCCGCGTGGCGAGTCGGGGTGGCCGCGCGGCTTCGGGGCGGCTCCCGTCAGCTGCGAACGGGCGCCGGGGAGCCGGGCCACATGCGAACCCTACCCCTACCCCCCACGATTTCTAAGGGGGAGGGTGGGGTTCACTTCGCTCGGGAGCTCCCGAGCGAACTGTACCCCACCATCCCCCTCAGAAATCGTGGGGGGTAGGGGTAGGGTTCGCATGTGGCCCCCTGGCCGGGGAGCCGGGCCATGGCACGACAGCCAAGGGGCGGCGTCAGGCGGGGGCGGGCTCAGCGGGGTGTCCGACAGCTGTCTGCAGCGTTGCAACAAAAAATTCGAAGGCCCGGGTGGCGTGCATCCGCTGCACCTCGCCGAGGGCGTTCCAGCGGTGCGGGAGCCGTCCCCCGGGCGGCCGCCGGAGAGCCGGGTCCCGGCACGCACACCGGGCGGCACCCCAAGGGTGCGGTGGCCACACCGTGTGAGAGAAGTCAGGAGGGGAGCCGGGGTGGCCGCAGGAGTGCGGGGCTCGGGTCGAGAGCTGCTCGGGCGGCCCGGGCCTCCAGGGTCCTCCACATCGACGCGTGGCGGGCCGTGCGGTGCGGCCTTTGGAGATGAGCGTTGGGGATGAGGAGGAGGAGGAGGAGGAGGAGGAGGAGGAGGAGGAGGAGGAGGAGGGAGGCAGGAGGAGGAGGAGGAGGAGGAGGAGGGGGAGGAGGAGGGAGGAGGAGGAGGAGGAGGAGGAGGAGGAGGAGGAGGAGGAGGAGGAGGAGGAGGAGGGGGGGGGAGGAGCCCTCTTGCCCCTTTTCCAGCGGCTTGTGCGCCCTGAGGGAGGTGTACCTGTCCGCCAGAGGATCACAGGATCACAGGAGGAGGAGGAGGAGGAGGAGGAGGAGGAGGGGAGGAGGAGGAGGAGGAGGAGGAGGAAGAGGAGGAGGAGGAGGAGGAGGAGGAGGGGGGGGGGGCAGGCCCAGGGGGAGAAGCATCGACTCCCAGTCGCCCATCGCCGACAGGGGCCCGATAGCCGACCCCGCCTGGCAACACACGGCTTCGCCATCGGGGGCCTGCCGCCGATTCATCGGCGAGGTGATCGCCAAGGCCTGGGTCGGTGTTGCCCCTCCCACTGAGCCGCCCCCTCCCCCCCTAACATTCTGGGGCCGATGTATGGCCACCGGTCCTTCGCGCGCACCTCGTATGCCAGGCCAGCTTGTTGGTAGGGGTGGTGTACAGAACCCGCGATCCCAAAGGATGCCATCTTTGCACGCACATGCCCGCTCCACGGTCTTGTGCCGGCCCAGCTTGCTCGTGGGGGTGGTGTACAAACACCGCGTTCCCCAAGCATTGCCCTTCGCACCAGGCCATCTGTCCTTGCGCCCTGGCCTCGCCCTTCCCTCGCCCTTCTGCTGCGGCCCACGTGCTTGGGCACCACGGCTGGGACGGCTGCCAGTGGATGTCGGTGTTTCTCTCCTCTTTGGGCGACTCTAACAGGTATTGTTACGTCTGTGTGTGGTTTGCGATCTGCGCCCCTGGGGCCTGGGGGGCACGAGAGTGTCCTCGTCGGGCCTCCTCGGGGCGCGGCGGAGAGCTCTATCGAGGTCCCCGCCCGCCCCCAGGGTGCCCCCCAGGGTGCCCGTTGCAAGCCACACCTTTGCAAACCACACTCTGCTCCTGCCCGCCCCATGATGACCCAGTGGATGCATTCAGGAGGGGGAAACATACAGACCAAAATAAGAGTCGATTCCCCAGAGAATGCGACACATCTGGGAAGTGCAGGGCAAAGCCAGCATCCCTGAAGTATGGAACAGATGGGGAGATCTTGGGCTCGGTTTCTATTTGTTTGTGTCTGCCTGGGCCCTTCACCTGACCAGTGGATGTACGGGATCCGGCTTGAATATGGAGCGCTTGCTTTTCCGGTCGTCGTTCCTTTGGTTTGCATGCGTTCCGCGACCTTTTTGGCGGCGAGGCCCCTTGGTGTTCCTTCGGACTTCGTAGACCTACTTGGAAAACAGGGGCTTCGTTCCATATGTATCGTTCCTTAGGTCACGCGGGATCCTGTAGGCACTTCTCCTCTCTCGCAGGGCACCTGCTGGTGTGGTGCCCGCCGAGGGGACATATAACAAACGAGCGCTGCCCCCTTGCAGGCCAGCGCGGGGGAGGAGGTCGAGCGTGCACTCGGCCAAACGAAGGATCCGTGGCGCGCCTGGGGGGGACGAGGAGGAGAAGGAGGAGGAGGAGGAGAAGGAGGAGGAGGAGAAGGAG